CCCAGCTACTTCCTAGTCGTTGCTATGTAGCACCGGTGTCGTATAGCCTCAGTACGGAAGCCTTCTGCCAAAGAGGTGTTGAGTTTGCATGTCTCCTTCTTCTGAAGGGCTTGCAGGGCCAGGGCGACCTCAAGGCAGCGCTCGTGGAGCTTTAGTGGGGTTGGGTTTGCAGATCAAGGTTTAGCCCGCCGCATGTAGGGTTTATGAGCTTTTCGATTTATGTTGCGGAATTCGGGAGCTGTTCGGCTTCGACTAGATTCCAATTCTGCCTTGCTGGTTGATCCCCGTCCTGTCGACCCTCTCTGGTCTGCTAAGTTCAAGCTCTCATAGAGCAGCGCAACATTGGAGCTGACATTAAAATTTGCTCGATGGATTTACTGTGATCAGGAGCTGGAACAATTGCTCTTCTAGGAAGTCAAGGCTTCATTCCAAGGGCTTCAAACGCTTCCCGAGTCTCCTGAGACCAGAACACAGACAAAGATGCAAACACAGTAGTACTATGTGGTACTATATGGCAGAGGTCTTGGCCTTGTTGCGGTCTCGTTTTCCTTCTTAGAGTCAGAACTTTCGCCCTGGACGACATGCTATATTTATTTGTACGCTACTGTCACTTCCCCCGCACCCGAGTTGCCGACCCCGCGAGTTACTCATCTAGCTGAGGAAAGTGTGGTTGCTCCCTTGGTTGGCATGGTTGGCTCCGTCGCTGTTTTCGCGTCACCCTGCGACTTATTCATGAAGCGAAGACGAGGATCACAGGACCCGGGAGCACAGCAGCAAACTACAGGACTCCAGGCTGACTCCAGGAGTGTGTGCCCAGGAGGAGCACTCGACTAGGGCCTTTCGACCCAAACCCGTACAACTGTCAGCCAAACTACAGTTTTCATGACTGGTCTTCAGCCGCAACCCGAAGGTCAAGGCTTCAATTCATTGAGGCCTCGCGAAACCCCAAGCGCCTAAAGATACTACACGGCGGTCCAAGTGCTCTGAAAACATTGGGCGGGTGGGAGGAGGTGCAATCTGCCAGGAAGGTATCATGTGAGATAACATGTTGGAAATTACCTACACTCCTCTCCCGTGCCTCCACATCCTCAAGGGACACCGTCGCATCGTCCGCTTTGGACAATGGTCTTGGCACTCAGTTGCGAAGAACGGGGGCTACAACAAAACTGCAAGACCCCCTGAACTAAGCCACTGGTAGGCTATTAGCCCCGGGACTTGGGACTTGGAGTCCCTAAACCCTATGTGGACTGGCCGGGACTTGGGACTTGGAGTTCCTGCTTCGGGAGCCACTTCAGGCAGTTCTGGCCGAGCGGCCTCCCAAACTGGGCGAAGACGTCCGCAGGGGAGACCCCGAGCTTTGAGGTATCGCCACAGATCTGCCGTCGGGCTCAGGGCTTCGGGCTGAGGCGTTGGACTTGACTTGAGGTTATATGGTATATTAGAGTATACAGTATACTAGTGTATGTTATAGTACATGATATTATAGTATATTATCTTTTAGTATAGTATAGCATCGGCGATCGGAGTGAGAACCAAGAAGTGAGGAAGGCCAGGCCGCAGGGTTTTGGGTTCTTCCGGGCGTCTGCGACCACTCGACTCTCGGCAAGCCCTCGGGTCACGGGAGTTCTTGAAGCCACCACCGACATTTGAAGCCTGGATTCGAATCACAAAGAACAAGGAGTTGGACGCTTGTTTGACAGAAAGGCCCAAAGGGTTAGACTCGGCCAGAAAAGCGCCCCGGCTACAAAAGGGAAAGGGTCCGCAAAGCTCGGGCTGATATCGGTCGCTGCGCAGGGAGAAGAAGAAGTGATGGCTCCAAGAAGCGAAGTGTGAGGAGCAGAGCGCAAAAACTGTTCTGATCCCTCTGCAGTATGTCTGAACGCCGAATTAAGTGGCTGAAATGCCCAACCGTATAAGCTACTATAAACTACTATTACTATAGAATATACATGAATCTACTGTTATACTCTCTTCTAAACGACGCTTGCGATGCACAGCCAGGCCTCCAAAGCCTTTGCGCTACTTGCTGGGACTGCTTTGCCCTGAAGGCAGGGTCGTGTCGAATTGGGATTTCATACCCGGGGTATACGTTAAACTGAAGGGCCAGAATCAGTGATGGAGCTTTGTGAGGGTGTTGAAGTAGTTCTGAGCAACATGTCGCAAAGCTGAAGCTCGAGGGGACCAAAGTCGAGCTTTGGGAACCAAGTTTCAAGGAGTTTTGTGCTACTCGTGTCGGCCTTTCAGAACCTGCAGGCCACACGCGCAAAAGCCTTTCAGACGTCAGTTGCTATCAAGGGAGGGAGGCTGAAGGGCATGAACCTGCGAAGCATGCGCATTTTACACAGGATCATTTGAACGGTCGGCTAAGTGGGCCTTGATGCAGGGTTGAATCATAGACTTGGAGGACCCGGCAAGTAGTTTCCTGTCTGCGCTAGCTAAACCAGCTACCCCGTAGTGAGACTAAATCAAAAGCAACCCTGAAGCCTTCAAGTCCGGATCTCCTCGACCAGAAAACGAGAGTTCGAATCACCGTACAGGGATGAGGATCAGGATAAACGGAGGACGAGTTTGCAGTTGCTGACGAGAATGGTGACGATCACGACAGAAAGGAACATGATGATGATGACGATGATGATCATGATCATGATGATCATGATGATGATGACCATGACGATGACGATGACGATGATGATGATGATGATGATGATGAGGACGACGATGATGAGGATCAGGCTGAGGATGAGGACGATGATGGTGGTGATAGCCATGACGGGCTACAGTGATGGATGATGACTGCGATGCGGCTGCTAGTGGCGATGACGCTCATGATTGTCATTACCGTCGTCTTTCATCCTGGTCATGATGGAGCGCATTATCTTCCTCACCATCCACGGCCTGATCATTCTGCTCGTACATAGTCAACTGCAAGGAATTCCCGGGCTCTCTGAGCTGGCACACTCAAACGAAGGGAATGAGCGAAGAATGACAAGAAGCCGTCAACGGCAACAACACCTAAACAGACTAGACAGTACGCCGTGCAGCTTCTGATTATCCTAACATCACACCCAGGACATCCGTCGAGCTGTGCCTTGCGACCCATACGGACGAAGGCGGAAGACGAGGGATCCCCGCTGATGTTACAATGTTTGATGCTGGCGCGTCTTTGCACGTTGATGTCTGGAGCTGCTTCGCACCTGACTTCAGGAAAGCTGAGGCATTAGGGGGGCTGGTAAAAGGAAACACGTAACAAGGTCAGACCTCGCGGGACAAGCTTAAGCTTCCATGCGGCGCAAGGCTTGGAGGCTCAAGGTTCTCACAGGTGGGTTGAATCTCTAGAACCGGACCAGGGACTAAACCTTTTATGAGCCAACGCTGCGGAAAAGGCAAGCTACGCATAACTAGTTCCCTTCAATGCAAGACTAAATTGCAACAGCTCCTTGTTCCTGCAGCTCGTTTGGCAACAGTGCGCTCCTGCCCGTCAGCTGGCATTCGGGATGAAATCGGCTCACACCTGGGTTTGCGGCGATCTTAGCTCATGTGTGGTCCGACAGTCGGGATTTTCCTGAATCGTGGTCACGGGAACTTCGAGCGTCTATATTCTGACCAGTCATTACACAGCGTAACTCCAGTGTGATGCCGCACAAACACTTCGCAGTTCGGGCTACATTTGCAGCAAGCTGATGGGACAAGCAAGTGGCAATTCATGAGCCTGGAACTGCGACCGACCATAGCACAATGTCAAAATGTCAGAAAACAAACATGCCCCGCCACAGAGCTTCACATCAGCAGGGCAGAAATGTCAGAAACTTGACCGCTGCCGGGCCTCAGCTCTCTGAACGCACAGGCTGCTGCGGCGACTCTGTGGCGCCTGTCCGGCAGGACAAACGAACTCGCTAAACCGTGTTTGGCACCACGGTCACGGGTCCCAGCTGGATCGCACTTGCAGCTTTTTCGGCTCAAGTTCTGCGTTGCGCCCGAGTTCGTGGCTCCGTACAAGGACTGCATTGGTACCGCCTCTGGGGTCAGATAATCAGTCTGAACCCCGAAGGGCAAACATCCGGAAATCGGGCATGTAGCCCGCAATGCTTCAAGATTTATGGAACCAGAACCAGACCTTGTCGATGCCGATTCTTGCAAGGGCCCTACTGCCGAGCTCTCGCAACTCGACTTCATCCTCGCATTCCTCGGCGATGTCTTCTGGCAAAGAGAAACACGTGATGGGCTTGCCGTGATTTTCTGGATGGAAACTGTATTCAAAGAAGCCGACTCCGTGGGAGGTGTGCTGCTGGCACTCATGCGGGGTCGCAAGCGTCGTTATATTTCCGCGGTCTTGTGCTAAGTGCCTGCAATGGCGGTTGACCTCGGAAAACATGACCTGGTGAAGCTCCTGCATCATGCATGCTCGCATGACGGACTGTCTCAAATCACTGGCACAGTGCTGCAATGAGCGAGGGTCGCATGGGTCAGTACCGGCCAGGGCCTTTTTGCAGAGCGCTGCTGCCTGGGATGGCCTTGTAGCTTCAACAGGATGCAGGATGCAGGGGACACACATGATGACCAATGGGATGGGCAGGCAACGGAGACGGACCATGGCTGGCATGGACATCAGTCGCTGGATGTTCCTTCTGCGGTTTCGCAGCTTGCGCCGCAAGCTCGTGCCACAATTCCAGCGGCATGGAGATTTTCCATGTAGGCGAATCAGGCAGGACTGTAAACAGGCAACTGACACTAGCGTCGTCGCCTGCTTTCGACATGAGTGCACCAAAAAAGTGAGCCCTCCCTACCTTACGGAGCGGATGCGCCAGCCTCATGCTCCACTGAAGTCCCCTTCTAGACAGACAAAAGGCCTTTTCGCAACGAGCCAACCTACCATGATGTCAAACGAACTCTCGGAGGGCAGCGATTCACGTCTTCTTTTCCGGTAGCCGATAGCGGATTGCGTCCAGCATCATCCCTGGAAAGCAAACGAACGTATCGAGAGACGCGAGGCACTTTCTTTCTCAGTTCTCCATCTCCAGCAGCCGCAGTGTCTCCCGCTTTTTGCTCTCGTCTTTGCAATCCTTTCTTTTTCCCGTTCTTGCAAGCTCTGTCGCATTCCTCCGCTTCTTGTCCTTCCAGAAACACGCTCTGCACAGATGGGCGCCGCAGGGCATACAAATTCCCTGTGCAACGACTTCCGGGTAAAGTTGCCCCACAAACGCATGATGGCCAGGGGAGCCCCATCTTTGCAAGCCCGAAGGAAAACAGCCACAAAGCATGTGACTCCTCCAACTGAGGATTTCCCCCGTGCTTGAGGAGGAGCTTGACGACACTCGGCTGACAGTAGGCCGCCGCCTACCATGTCAGATGTTGGCGGCGAGTTAGCGGGTTTCCGAAACAAAGGTTCTCCACTACCGGGAATTGGGGAATCAATGAAGAACAAGCGATTCTGAACGCTCTTCACAGAACTGCAGTCCAGAGAAATCTCCAGCCTCCATCAGAGCAGTTCGTCCTCTTTCACCTTTTTCGTTCACGGTGTTGTTTGAAACATTCATCACCAGGTCCGTGAGATCGAGAAATCTTCCCAAACTCAGCTCGTCATTGTGGTGAAGTAACCTAAGATTGCGGGCTGTCGACGAGTTCTACTGCACCAACTCTGCCTCTTCCCGCAGGCACCGTTACCCTGCAAAGAATTCAACATGTAATCCAACTTCCGCTTGGCAATAGCCTTCTGCCATGGATTTTGCCACTATTGCCGCAATAGTTGCTGACGTGACACCCACGCAAGAGTGCCCACAAAGGTGTTCTCTCACTCTGATCACCCATAAGACCTGATCTTCCATCCATGGCATCAACAAGAAAGTCTGACAACAAAGCATACAAGTCCAATATGGCGGAATCCCTACTGCAAGGACCCCGAATTGGCCCTAATTGTGAAACCGCCACCTGAAACCCATGTCACCTTTCTGGTCAGGGTCTGCCCGCAGGCGGAGGAGCTCTGGCACGGCCGAGTACATACCATTGCCAATAGCCTGCCGGACGAACAAGTCTTGGGTCGTGCAATAACATTGTCTTGCCTGCGCTTGCGACACGTATCTTCAAACAGCTGGATATCTACCCAGGGCCTCCACAAGCGCGGTTCTTTGCTCACAGTCATCCGTCTCCTTACATAACAGGGGACTACCTGTATCAACCAACCTGCATCAAGCAAAAAGCCCTGCAAAAACAGACCCATTAGCACGCAATCCAGCTCGGAGATGCACCTGAATTCGAAGACAAAGCATCCGGAACCATGAGACTGGCATTTGCACGAACTAGCCGCGTCAAGAGGGTGTTCAGGCGAGATGTGTCTGAGCCCTCAGCAGCCTTGGCACCGACGTAACATGGGTACCTGTGATACTTCCCGAGGGCTTTGCGCTTCTGGAAAATATTCAACAAGGGTGTGATCTGGCACCTCAGCCGAAGCCGGACTTTCTGAAACGCAAGCAGGCAGCACAAGCTTCGAGGTATCTCAGCCCAGCACCCATCCTCATGATTCTCATGCTCGGGCATCGCGCGGTTTACATCAGCACCGTTCCTAAGTAGCAGGTCAACTGCGTGGATGCTGCAAAACCAGCTGGCCCTTGTCAACGGAGTGCGATGGTGTTCGTCTGCAGCATTGACTTCCACGTTGTCAGCAGCCAAAATCAGTGACATAGCGTCCGTCTTGTCCTCTGCGGCAGCAACTCCCAACGGAGTCTGATCACAATCTGCGCAGTTGGCATCAAAGACATCCAGTAGTTTGGGCATGATGTGTAAATGTTCCAGACGCACGGCTCTCTCCGCAAAGCCGCAGGCCTTCTGGGAGTCCCGGATATCTGGAATCCAAGCCTGAACGTCTCTCCATGTTGTGCTGTTGTCCATTTCGATAGCCTCATTGAAGCAGAACTCAGGCGACAAAGTCACAGCCACGTCATAGTTCTCGTTCCACGGCGAGTAACGGTCGCAGTACTCGCACTTGTCTTTGCGCACCACCCTAAAGCGCTTTTGCCACACGTCGTGTTTCGTGCAGTCCCGCTTTAGGTAAACCACCTCCTCTTCTGCGCGAAATCGTTTGTCAAGGCCTTTGCCAACGACAGGATCGAGATCGGACATGTTGCAGGCGACATACTCGGCGCGCTGGCTGTTAACAGATGCATCCGGAAGCAGGAAGCCACTTGCGGCCTTCAGGAAGATGGGTGGCGCGTGTGGCACAATCCTGATTGGCAGGACAAGCTCCTCAGCATCGGTCTCATCCTGTGTCGCACAGAGCAACAGCTGGAAGCCACGCATTAAAAAAAAACTGTCTGGCATTGAGATACGGAAGGTGCTGGATATCTGACTTTTCGTAGTATTCTGTGCTTCCAGGACCCATTCCTTGCTGGCTTTGGGCTGCTTCACTTCCACTGTGCTTTGCGCCGCAACGGTGCGAAGCCTTGCAGATTTACCGCTGAAAGTTACATCCTGCAGCCATTTCACGAAGGATCTGCGGGAAACGCTGCCACGGCTGTCGTGAACATGGATTTCGTCTTGAGATCCTTCAAAGCTCCTGCTTTCGTGAAGAAAAAGACACACTGATTGCGAGCTACTCAGCATGAATGGTTGCTCGGCCACGCAGTGGACGCTCGTTCCCAAATCCTCCTCGCCACAGTGACACCGGTCAGCGAACTGGAAATTCACCCTCACATGTGTTGGTCCGACTGATGACACGGTCTGTGCCGTTGGCTTCAGCTTTGCCAGCGGGGCATAGCACACAGGCTGCAATCTTGCTTGTAGGGTCATGTTGCCTGTGAGGTCAGGAACATACCAGTCAGGGTGTCGCTGCTGGTAAAACCAATGCCTCGTCTCATTGAACAAAGCAACACCACCTGCTGTAGTAACCTCACCAGCCACAAGCAGCGACATGCTCCCACCGACGCGCACCACGTGGAAGGTGTACCTCGGATGTGAGGTGAGTTTGACATGCTCGAGGTGGCCTGGTTGCATTCGTACGTCTATCTGGCGGTAGCATGATCAATGGCTTAGCAGTGGTTCAAAGAACACCACGGAGCCCACTCAAGCACCAAGATGCTCCATTGCAGGGATCTTCAGCTTGCTTCCTGCCATTCTATCGCGGTCTCCCTTTCTAAGACGCCTGGGCTTAGAACGACCTTCGTGCACTGACACGAAACCCAGCTGCACATCTTCATATCATGTTCATGTTAGCAGTGACCTCTGTCAATTCCCGTCCTGCAGCCACCGTGATCCGGCTGTATAAAGGCCCGGGCGGAAGACTGAATTGATATTGACCGGCCGCTTGCGACAATTCAGCCATCTCAGACACTTGCGCAACGCCCTCAACACCATCTTCTTTGGAAAAGAGCACAACATTGCTGGAAAGATTGCTCTCCAGCTGCGGATGCTCGATCTTCAGGCTAACACTCTGTGTGTGAGATCCACCTTCGAAGAAAAATGTCAGGGAGTCAGTGGCATCCTCGAGAAGGAGTGTGTTGTGGAAGCTGGTTGCCATCGCTGGGTACATAAGGTGGCCACGGCTGAAGGAATAGTGAACCAAGGTGCCTGTTCACGGACATCTAAGTAAGGATCAACACCACTGAAAGTACTTGCCGCCTCGGCCCCGGTCAGGCCGGTCAGGTTACCCAGGGAATCCGTTTTTCCCGTCGTCTTCATCCCCTCACAACCACCGACTTGAGTCGCGCTTGTGGACTCACTGACCGACCCCAAGGCACCACAACCCAGAAACCTGCCCCCTCCTCCTCCTTCGCCCTTCGCGTCCTTCCTTCTGTCCCTTGTTGTGCCTGACTCATTCCTGCCGAGCCGGCAAGCGACGCGAAGCGTTTGCAAGTTTAATGCTGCAAGGCGCCTTGCATGTGCGTGCAGTCCAGTGACATCAACACAAGAACGCTGAGCCCGACTGTGGCCGCAAACCACGTGAAGAAGCTGGCAAGAAGATAATGCCCTTCCTCAGATCTGTTAAAGATAGTGTTCGCTAGACAGATCGGGGCCTGACATGGTTCCGTTGCGAACCAACATGTGCTGAAGGTGCGATCCCTGCTTTAATGGGTTCTGTTGATCTCTTTGACCTGGTTGAGAGCATGCAGAGGGTTCCTGGGGCGTCGCCTCCTAAGAAACGTAGTTAAACTAAGGGGAGTGTGCGAAACACTCTTCAGGAGGTGGGGAACGAGGAAGGGACTACCAGCCCTCAGACTAACGACAACTCCCAACCCCAAACAGTCGGAAGAACGAATCCCTGCCTACAACGGTCCTACAGACCTCACTTCGGCAAGGGCAAACTCTCTTCATGACTTGAGCCACATTGTCAGTGTTGTTCCTTGTGTAAGGGGCTTCTGTGCATACCCTCACACATCAAGGAGTCTCGTCACCGTCCACCATCTTAGTAGACCTATACATCGAGGACTTCAACCTAACACGACCACCAGCGCACCGACAGGTTCCTAGAATAAGGAATATGTTGTTTCAGGGTTGTGCAAGGACAGACCCGTGCGACAGACACAGCCGGCAAGGCCTACCTCTAACAGAGAAGGCAATCACCTGCAGATCCGACAGGCCTTTAAGATCACAAGTCGCGCCGGATGTCGCAAGCCCGCAAGAGTACACTAGCTACCGGTTCTTTTCCCGCCTAGCCCCCCCGGCCCCTACACTGCATGCGGAAAAAAGGGAGGTCTAACTTCGTTACAATTACAATCTGTTCTTGACGTCAAGGATCTCTCTTCTTCGCCAGGATCTTCGGCCGATTGTCAGAGACATGCAGCTGCTCAGCGGAGTATTCGGTGAATTCGCTGCTCAGCTGTGGCTCCCTCCACTTGCCCAGGCCAGTCAAAGATGCATGTAAGTCCCAAGCATGTATGAGGACTGCCAGCATCAACTTCAAGCAAGGGATCCAGGCAAAACGTGAGCACGTTGAAATCAGCCCGAACAAGATGGACACCGCCATAGCTGCTGCAAAGAAAAGAAAAACACGCTTCGAATGGCTGTTGGCCGTGCGGAGCCGTCGCCTATCCTCCTCCTGCAGCGCCTGATCACACTGCACACCCCACTCAACGGTCCATTCAGCCTGCAACAGTACCTGGATCATTCTTTGTTGGGACTGGAATTGGAGTTTCTGTTCCGAACATCAGTCCTCTATCTTCCCTAAATTAACACTGTTGTAAAATCGTCTTATACTGACGAAGTTGTAGTGTTCTTGAATGTTTGAATGTGTGAAAACTCAACTGCAATGGCCCAGCTACAAGAACGTGCATGGCAAAGAAGCTGAAGGCAATTATCACGAAGATCTTCACAGGCACCGAGCCCGCAAGCTCGTCAAGAAGGCTCCACTGCACAGATGCATGGCTGGCAGCCAAAAGTAACTGCCGACGCGCAAGAACTGGGATCGGGATCAGCAATTGTGGGTTAGCAGCATAGGGCGCCCGGTCGGATATCTGGATGTTGCTTCTGCCTGTGCTGTCGCACAATAGCATCCATCCCTTCGGCTCCTCTAAGCGCCCCCAAACCGTCCGTGGCAAAGGCCGGAACACACGGACTGCATGCGCGATGATGAAATCCGAAAGGCTTCGGGTAAGATTTCCCCGGGATTCCTTCATTTCAGTTACTGCGACCTGCTGCCCAGCTTCAAGTGCCATCATGCCTGCAGTGTCATCGATGTGGTTACGAACTTCTGCATGGTGTACAAGCTTGTAGTCTTTGGGCAACACCTCCTCGAGAAGAGTGTCCACAAGCAAGTGATCATCAGAGTCATCTTCATGCTTCTGCAAGAGCCGAGCAATGTTCACCAGTGGAATTGCTACCTTCCAACCAATCAGCGCCACCGCGGCCAGCAGCGAGAGCTCAAGCCCCAAAACCATTCTGTGCGGTGTCGAATTTAGCGGGTCCAGGACAGGGTCCCACTTCTTAGCAAGGTTCATCAACCGAGTTGGCAAAGGCGCAAATGTCAAGTTCGCCACGCATTGCAGTGGCTGAGGCTCCGCCATTTGGTGTGATGCATTCGGCCGGCAAAGGAAGAACGTGTCACCGAACAACTTTTCAACTTTCGGCACGATGAAGACCAACCATGGAGACTCGACGTCCATAGCATCTTTGGGAAACATATGCAGCTCTACCAGTGGCACCGTTTCAAACTTCGAGCTCCGGAGCTGCTTCCAGATCCTGTTTGCATACGCTGCATCTTGCCTTTTGGCTGCATTTAGGCCGTCCCTGATCATCTTTACTTTGAAGCGCCGTTCATATTGCAGGCGCTTTGCTGCAGTCAACATTGGAACTGTCTCGAGCTGAACGTCATCCACTGGGTGATTGCAGTCTGCCTGGCGGGACAAGTAGAAAGTTCGAGACTCGAAGAGCGTGAAGTCAGGATTCTCAAAGAAGACGGCACTCACATTGGAAATGTTGGCATGGGTCCTGGGTGCTGCATATCTCAACGAATCTCGACACAAGCCGGACATGAAACGTTGCAGGCTGGCAACAGGCGCTGCTGCCAGCGTACTGAGATAGAGAGCCGGTCAGGAGGAAGCTTCGCAGTACATACTCATAGCACAGCAGCCACAGCGAAGGGAATTCAAAATGAGAACACACTTCTTCCGACAAGGGTCTGTTGGGCTTGGAATGTGCATAGCGCCGAGTCGTTTCCGGTGGCACTCGTAGTGGCAGCGCCGCGGTTCTCAGTCCGATAAGAGTGAAGCCCATGTATTTGGCACACAAGAAGCAGGGTCAGAAAACGAGATGGTTCCATGGCGCGAATGCAGCTGGGTTGAACCAACGAACTACAAGTGTGCATTCACAACTCGGCACCTTCGAACCGTTTCATTCGCAGGTTACCTGCTATTTCAGGCCATGTTTCTCGACTAAGGGGCTCATTTCACCGGTTTGCAAGCTGACTCCGCAGATGCGCACTGCACCCACTGCCTCGAAGCCAAGCTCCATCTGCAAACATGCCCCAAAGCATCCTGGAGTGTTTGCAGGCCCTATGACAACTAAACCGTTTATGAGGTACAAGGATTGCACCGTCATGGGCGCCACAGCTTTTACTTGCTGTTGCCAGCCGCAACCCTCATCAGGGCTCAGGCTTGAGATGCGCTGAAGACCCAGCAGGAATGGTCGCTTGCGAGAAAAATCTCTAGAATCTCGAAGAGGATCGGAACACTCGGGCCTCACAGCTCTATAAACAGCCCCTGCACAGGGAAAAGCGACCTGCGAAATCTCTTAATCCTATATTCCCTGCTTGCTTGTTTATCCAGGCCCAGAGCTTGCTGATACGGCATATGCTATAGCGCACAACCGAACATCGTGTGTGATACCTTGCGGACTGAGGGTTTTTTAGGATCTCTGGAGCTGAGAAATGGGCATCGTATCCGCTTCGAGCCTCACCTCTGCAACATCAAAGGTATCAAATGTATCAAAGAAAGTTCCAAAGCCTAGTGGGAACCGTCTCCAAACGTTCAACGAAGACCCGGCGCTTCGGGCTTCCAAGAAACTGCAGTGGCCCATCGCCAGGGCAAGACTTATAATGATGCGGGCGTACACTTGTGAGGGTCAGAACTTGGCGTCTACGTGCCCTGCGCGTGTTTCTGCATCGCTCTTGCCAGCTTGAATCGCACGAGAGGTCAGAATGCCGCATCACTCAAAGAACACGCATGCACATGGCAACGTGCGCTGCAGGAATACATTAGGAGGCACCGCAGACGCTTCTAAGAGACTGCAAAAGATTCATGGGAAGCTCAACTCACGTCATCCAGAACTTCGTCCGGCGGATCTGCTTTATGGTTCGGGCTCCTTCAGCGGCCGACCGGAAATCGAGCCCATCAACTTCACAGCTGCCTTTTGCCATCTCCACTACCAAGAAGCACTTCACCGGCTGACAAAGGTCTCGGTCATACTTGAAGTACCGCCATTTCATCACACTTTGTCGAAGGAGCTTAATGCGGAAGTTGTGCGAAAGGCAATCTTCCGGCGTAGCTGCCGGTTGCTCGTACTGCTTACAGTTTGAATAGGCCTGATTGGGAGCGAGTTTCGGACCCATCGTCGTCCATTGCCAGCCTGGGCGGTTTACCACACAGGCTTGATGATGCACTTCTTGAAGCTCTTGATTGCAAGTCTTTGGTTTTGGAGATTTGCACTGACCTGGCAAAGGCAGCCAGAAAAAAACTTGATCGAGGCCTGCGTAATCCTTTCTGAGTGGATGCAGTTCCCCTTCGAACTTGCACTCTGTATGCTTCGTTGTGACGCGGTTGCAAACCACAGCTTTACACGGATTGCTCTTGTACTTGAACCACCGGGCGACTTCCTTCTCGCCGTCTCGCAGCTTCGTGTCAAACTTGTGTGTGCGGCAGTCTTCTGGTGTCTGTGTTGTGGCCTTATCTGGGTCCCCCACTCCACATCCTCCGAAGTTGCTGCCCCAACTCCAGCCTGGATGACTTTTGACGCATAGTTGGTGGTGAAGGTTCTGGGCATCACTGTCTTCGTTTGCGCAGGCCCTCTGTTCACATGGAGGGATCCACCAGAAGAAGGCCTTGCGAGGGCGAGGAACTTCTCTTGTCTCGATCGACTTGAGATCCTCTTCAAACTCACAGTCTGTGTGTTTCGTGGTGATGCGGTAGCATTCGCCCGGGTCGCAGAGACTGCTTTCGCTGTACGTAAACAGCATTCCACGCACATCAACATCAGCACCAGCATGTGCTCTGCGGCAATCTTCAGGTGTGGAGACATGTTGGACTTCGTTTTTGTCAGTGCAGTCAAGTAGACTGCTGGTATATTTCCATCCGGGGGCATCCAAAATGCAAGCTTTGTGGTGTTTGATCTGATCCTCTGCCAAGCAACTCTTCTTACCTGCTGTGCAGCTTCCTTCGCTCGCGAGGTAACTGCTCACCCTGTCCGACTCAAAGGGCTGTAAGGCTTCGAACGGGCGAGCGGACCGGCATGTGTCAGGTAGGAGACATAGAAGGACAAGGACAGCTGTCGTTCGCAGGCAACGGGCGCGGAACATGGAAGCTGCGCAGACAAGAAAAGATACCAGGGCTGCGGGCACAATGAAAGGCGACAAGGGCGTGAACTGCAACCGAAGTCAGAGCAACAACCCCCAGGCCCGGTCCCGGCTTCAGGTCTGTCGCCAGGGGTGATTCGGAACCTGGCTCAGCCACATGATTAAGCGAGTCAGTGCTGCCTACGTTTGCGCGACGTTGGTTTTCACTTATGCCGCCTAATTTCAACATCACCTACCACGTGACGGGATGCAGAGAGGGCACTTGTCGTGGCTTGCAAGTCCATGGCTGGTTCAACTCGGGATCAAGGTCCACTTAGACAGTCGGGTTATCAGGAATTGGAGAGACCTGGGCGGGTGCTGCGATGCGCACAAGGCTTGGAGGCTTGAAGGGTTGGGGCGTTTCCTTTCCTTGGGCATTTTCCGGAATCTCCTGAGAGTCTCGCCAATGCCTCGAAATCCGGCTGCTCCCACAAGCGGCTTTTTTGTAGGGGTCTTCGAAGCTTCCGGGGCATGCCAATGGCCTAGGGCCTACTAAGGGCAGCCTGGTTTTCTCAGCCTTGAGGCTCTTTTGGGCTCAACCCTAGATTCGTCAGCCCACAGTTTGGCAGCCGCTCATGACACGAACAGCTTTTCGAAGGGATAAATTCCTAAATCTCACTTCGCTGTAAAGTGCGCTCAGGAATGACCATGTCACCGCTAAGCGCGTCTGCCCGAATCGCAACGCTGCTACTCCGTGCGGAAGTTTGTCTAGGCTCGCTCGCCACTGAAAGTCTTGGTACCTCGATACTCGTATAGACAGCAGCAGACGACACGACGGCTTGGCCCTTCCAAAAAAACTAGCCCATCAACACCTCCAGTGCCATGTAGCAGCAGCATTTGCTGAGACCAAACCTAGATGCATAAAAACGGGTTCACACGCAAACTTGCGCGAGACCCGAAGCGACTAAGCAAGGTGCCCGAGCCCGAGCACAGTCAGCAGCAAACAACTGCAAAGTGCATCCTAAACCCAAGACCCCAAACTTTCAAACTTTGGCGCCCGACGGCCCGGCATCCGGCCGCACTAGCAGCTCGCGCAGCTCCGCGACGGCTCGGAGACGTGTCGTGGGGTCCTGGCGGGTCTGTTTCATCGACAGCGTCGTGTTGGGATTTCATGTCATGGATTCAATGTCACACGCAGATCTTCCCAAGGCTTCAAGGATTAACTACGCAGCAGCAGGCAGAGCTTCTCTAGACATAGTCTCTCGCCTGCGATTCGCTTCGCCGAGGGCAACTTTAGGCAGATGGGATGACAATGGTTTAAGTTTAGAGCATGTCAACATATTCATACGAAGGCTCGAATGCCTTTGGTCGCTGCACCTTCCCGCAGCCCTAACTGGCTACTTCCTAGTCGTTGCTATGTAGCACCGGTGTCGTATAGCCTCAGTACGGAAGCCTTCTGCCAAAGAGGTGTTGAGTTTGCATGTCGCCTTCTTCTGAAGGGCTTGCAGGGCCAGCGCGACCTCAAGGCAGCGCTCGTGGAGCTTTTAGCGGGGTTGGGTTTGCAGATCAAGGTTTAGCCCGCAGCATTTAGGGTTTATGAGCTTTTCGATTTATGATGCGGAATTCGGGAGCTGTTCGGCTTCGACTGCATTCCAATTCTGCCTTGCTGGTTGATCCCCGTCCTCCCTCTCTGGTCTGCTAAGTTCAAGCTCTCATAGAGCAGCACAACATTGGAGCTGACATTAGAATTTGCTCGATGGATTTACTGTGATCAGGAGCTGGAACAATTGCTCTTCTAGGAAGTCATGGCTTCATCCCAAGGGCTTCAAACGCTTCCCGAGTCTCCTGAGACCAGTACACAGACAAAGATGCAAACACAGTAGTACTATGTGGTACTATATGGCAGAGGTCTTGGCCTTGTTGCGGTCTCTTTTTCCTTCTCAGAGTCAGAACTTTCGCCCTGGACGACATGCTACATTTATTTGTACGCTACTGTAATTTCCCCCGCACCCGAGTTGCCCACCCCGCGAGTTACTCATCTAGCTGAGGCAAGTGTGGCCACTCCCTTGGTTGGCATGGTTGGCTCCGTCGCTGTTTTCGTGTCACACTGCGACTTGTTCATGAAGCGAAGACGAGGATCACAGGACCAGGGAGCACAGCAGCAAACTACAGGACTCCAGGAGTGTGTGTGTGTGTGTGTGTGTGTTCTAGAGGAGCACCCGACTAGGGCCTTTCGACCCAAACCCGTACAACTGTCAGCCAAACTACAGCTTTCATGACTGGTCTTCACCCGCAGCCCGAAGGTCAAGGCTTGGCCTCGCGAAACCCCAAGCGCCTAAACATTGCAAACAGGGGTCCAAGTGCTCCGAAAACCTTGGGGTATCATGTGAGATAAGATGTTCGAAATTACCCACACTCCAGATCTCCCGTGCCTCCACATCCTCAAGGGACACCGTCGCATCGTCCGCTTTGGACAATGGCCTTGACACTCAGTTGCGAAGAACGGGGCTACCACAACTGCAAGACCCCCTGAACTAACCTAAGGTTGAAACCATGGGCACCTAGTGTGGGCCCTTAACCCCGGGAGCCAAATATACCTGCGATATACCCTATAGGCTATTAGCCCTATGCGGACTGGCCGGGACTTGGGACTTGGAGTTCCTGCTTCGGGAGCCGCTTCAGGCAGTTCTGGCCGAGCGGCCTCCCAAACTGGGCGAAGACGTCCGCAGGGGAGACCCCGAGCTTTGAGGTATCGCCACAGATCTGCCGTCGGGCTCAGGGCTTCGGGCTGAGGCGTTGGACTTGACTTGAGGTTATATGGTATATTAGAGTATACTAGTGTATGTTATAATACATTATAGTATATTATCTTATAGTATAGTATAGCATCGGCGATCGGAGTGGGAACCAAGAAGTGAGGAAGGCCAGGCCGCAGGGTTTTGGGTTCTTCCGGGCATCTGCGACGCAGACGTCAAGCGCAGTCTCCACACGACTCTCGGCAAGCCCTCGGGTCACGGGAGTTCTTGAAGCCACCACCGACATTTGAAGCCTGGAATCTTAATCACAAAGAACAAGGAGTTGGACGCTTGTTTGACAGAAAGGCCCAAAGAGCGCAGTCCGTCAAGCTCGGGCTGCTATCGCAGGGAGAGGAAGAAGTGACGGCTCCAAGAAACGAAGCGTGAGGAGCAGAGGGCAAAGACGATTCTGATCCCTCTGTAGTATATCCCTGATGCCTCAACGCCGAACGGCTGAAATGCCCACCCCCCTCATAAAGCCCTGAATCCTTCATCTACTATAATCTACTACAACAAACTATAATATACTATGCAGTCTACTATAATGTACTATACTATACTTTAAGATCATATACTATAACAGAATATACCACAACATACACTGGTATACTCTAATATACCATATAACCACTCAAAAACCATAATATACTATATGATCGGCAAAATATACTATAAAATACCATATAATGTATAATCCATACTACAAGAATTATACTATACCAATCTACGAAGAATCTACTATAATATACTCTCCTCTACACTCAACTTTCGATGCACGGCCAGGCCTCCAAAGCCTTCGCGCTACTCGCTGGGACGGCTTTGCCCTGAAGTGTCGGGTCAACTTGGGGAGTCTTACGGCAAACTTAGGGTTTTTTTTTGGACACCTCTTTTCCACCTGCCTGGTTAAGTTAGCTTAGGTTTTTTTAGGGTTTAGGGTCTCGGGGCCCGAATCTTGGCATTGGGCATTTTGTAGTTGACTGCAGAGGCTCAGGGCTTCAGGAGTCCTGGGCTTGCGCTTCTAGCCGGCCTCAGGCCCATCAAAAAGAGTAATAAAATCGTTCTAAACTACATGTCGCAGAGCAGAAGCTCAGAAAAATCACAGCCGCGCTTTGGATTTGGCCTTGCGTTGGGGAGCCGGAGCTACTCATGTCGGCCTTTGACAACATGCAAGCCACACGTCAAACTCGAGCAAGTGCTTCAGAAGTCAGCTTTCATCAAGGGAGGGCTGAAAGGCATGGACCCACGAACCGCGTGCAATCTGCGTAGAGGAACATCTGAACTGTCCGAAGGTCTACGTGGCCTTGATCCCGGGTTGAACATGTCTGCATCCCGTCGTTTGACATTAGAAATTATAACCGTTGCGAATGGACAGGCACCGAGACCGAAGCCTTTTTGGCATCTGCAGCTATTGTTTGCTGCAGATGAGGATCAAGACGATGGAAAGAGGACCAGTTTACACTTACCGCTGTTCTTGATGATTCAGATACGATGTTGATGGTGATAGTAACGATGAAAAGGATAAGAAGACTATGATGATGAGGACGACGACGATGAGGATGACAACCCGCTGGTGACGATGATAGTGACGACAAAGATGCTCTCAGAAGCACAACAGTAACAAAGTGCATCAGACTAAAGCAATGTCCAAAAAAGCAACCGAAATCCAGCACCTTGGAACTTCAATACCGCCTTGTATAAACCATTCGTCTAACTCTGGCTGCGCCTTGCGACCCATCCGGATGCAGGCGGAACGCGAGGGACCGTCGACGCTAGATTTTACGGGGGTTCCGAAATTAACTTCATGGATGCTTACTCTGAAGAAACGATGTGGTGCAAGAAGGGGGCACAAGGTTCACAACTTGAGCTGAAACGTTCTGCAGTACTTGTCGGAGCGAGGGATCGGGGGCTCAAGGTACACACAAACCATCCGGGGGCTGAATTTCTTGAACCGGCTTTGCGGTTTGGGGCTAAACCTTTCATGAGCCAATGCTGCAGCGAAACAAGAACAACTGCAGAGCCTTACCGAAGCCTTTCACGAACCCTTGCAAACAAAATCGAATTCAAGCGGCTACGTGTTGTCCGTCATGCTTCTCAAGCTCAGAGGACTGGAGGTCAGACCCTGCATCGTATGTCGAAGAACCCTCCGCAGCGCCCTGCGCCAATCTTCGCAGCAGCGTTTAGGGTTTAGGGTTTAGGGTTTAGGGTTTAGGGTTTAGGGCGCAGCAGGACACTGGCACAGACCAGCAGCAAGCAGTGGGCATCTTCGCAGCAAGGTATGCATTGGAATTGTCGCCGATTCTCGCAATAGAAATGAAGGGCTAAGAGGAATGATCATGTTGTGGATGTCTACGGGCCCCGTCGAGACGGTGGTTAAGCCCCTTTTTCTGAAAGCTTTCTGTTTGCATAATGTCGTGGCATTCTCTCTGGGCATGTCTGTAATTCGTTGCTTATTTCGCACGAAATCATGCTGCTGGGCACAAGGTCACGCACTGCATGAGGACGCCGGTACATTCCCGTTGCTTCCTTTCTTCATGTTGACCTGACTTTCTAGCACATCTTGCTGACACTTTTTGCAGGATTCAACCTGCAGCAAACAAGTCTTCGACAAACGAACACGCACATGACTTCACCCCATCACCTCAATTCGAAACACTCCACCTAGAACGTCGAAACCACTGAAATTTCATAGAACAGCAGGGAATGCTCCATTTTCAGAAACCTATAAACATTAAGTAGATATGATGACTGATGACCATTCCAGTACAAGTTATTGCTCATCAGTTTTATTTCTGTAAAGAGGAAACAAAACTCAATGTATTCGTATAGATCTCCCTGCATACCTTTGCATCTGTTGAAGAGAATATCTGCTGTCTGAAATACATGTAGAGACCACGAGACGAGACCGACACGGGTATCAGAAAGTGGAAAAACGGAAACCAGAAAAATGAATACTTCCGTCCTTGAAGTCAATATGCAATCTCTTCTCCTACAAGGCTTTGCTTGATGTAGCCACTAAATCCACATGATTCATACGATGTTTCTTCTGCCTTGCCAGCAAGTTTGCAGGAACGAGGCTTCAGTGCAATTCACACAGCCAAAAAATGCAACGGAGACTTCCGAATTGGATAGCGTGGGGTGTGAGGATCGGGGATGACAAGCTCAAGTATCGAGGCCATGCTGCAGGGTGGGTAATTTGTAGTCACCAGTCATTGCAGAGCACTGCGAGCGACTGAGTAGCCTTCGGCCGCTGCTTCTGTTGATGAGATGAATGTGTCAGGATAGACACCTAGTCATCCAGTCGTCCAGTGTCCAGAGCCTTCTGGCAAGGCCCAAGGCTTCAGCACGCCGCGGATGAATTTCGAATTCGATCTCTCTTTCAGCGCTTGGGAGTAGGCCGGTTAGGGGCCTGGCTCAGCCGAATGCAAGGCTCTCGCAGAGACCGTGCCGCCGCGCAATGCATCGATGCTCCAACTGTTTAGTTGGGGGCTTTACGCTGATCCCCGCCACGGTTCACGGGTACGGCATGAAACTTTCAGGAGCAGAGATGCATGCCTCGATCCCTGAACGACCCCCCTGGCCTTCTGAAGCTGCAGCAGCAAAGACGGGTTTTTCACCTGAGCAAGGAGGGGAGGAGCATGAAAGCCTACCACCAGCCGACCACCCCACCTTGACCAGCGCGCTCATGTCCGAAAGCCTCGCCTGCATCAGGGAGAGCCGGCCTCACAGAGGGTTTCGGGATACCAGCTCAAGGAGGGCTTCGGAAAGCCAAACATGGCAAGTCAACAGGCTGGAGCCTTTGACGCTGTTATACCGGAACGTGATCTGCTGCCGAACGACCTTGGTGCTTGGCTTCGCTTCAAGAATCAAACGAAGACAACATCTCTAGCTGCCAATTGAAATGGTGCTCATGTCGCCAAACCGACAACAATAATGCAACAGCACAACACTTCAATATGCCAACTGCATATATAACTTATATAACTGCATCCTATGCAGAGGGGGCCAGAGGATATCTGGGTGCGGGGCTTCCTCCGGCGAGGCCCTGAAGTCGCAGGAGAGGAGTTCTACGAATTTGTACTCCTGGCGACTGGCAGTTCAAAGGCTCCACGTATCTCCACGTTATCAAGGCCGTGCCGGCAGAACAGAGGCACTGCATCGCCAGCCCAGGAACCGGAAACTCCGAACAATTAGGGAGACCCCGATCCCAAGCTGCTAAGCGGATGGGGCGGTCCATGTTTTGGATGAAGTCCAAGCGCGCGTGGCCGTCTCGCTGCATTACGAAGACGGCCAGGAAGCTATGTGGTTCCTGGCATGCCAGACGAACCCTGTCTGCCCTATCTGTGTTACAAGTACCTGCTGCCTCTTGTGCGAGGCTTCGGTTGCCCACGTAATGCTTGGCAGGCTAAGGACTTGCGAAGGGCTCTGACATGACTAGGGTGGGTTGTCATAGCTGATCAAGTACAGCGGGAAACGATCCTATGTGCTGATTGCACCGCCTGATCCCAAAATGCCCCGATTGCTGTAGTCTTGCGTTTGCCGTTACGAGCGACTGTTCTTGTCTTGGGCAATGTCGTATACAGAATGCAAACATGCTTCGCGTAGCCTCTGTGCGAATTAATGCTGCTGCTGGTGATGAGCACTTGTTCTTGCCAACCTGTACTGTAACCAACACAGCCGCTTCAGAATAGCCCAACTACGCGACGAAGGCAGGACTTGTTGGAGGGGTTCTGGCTCCAAGTGCATAAGCAGAACTTACAAGAAGTGATGTCGCGGCCTTGATGCAGTTGTTGAGCATCTTGATGACCACGGCCACCTCGTTCGACAGCGCAGGACTTGGGCGCCCCAAATTCCAAAGCTAAAGCCAAGCTACGTAGTCCGGGAAATCGATCATCAATTTCTGCTGCTCCTGCAACATGTTTAGGCAGAGTCCCAGTAGTTTACGGCTGCGGAGCGAAGAGCATTGAACAACAAAAACGATCATCCACGAGTTTTCATTTTGAGTGACAGGTTCTTGACCGGGCAATACAGTAGCATGCACAATTCAGTGATATCCCAGGAATATCCTGCATTTCTCTGAAGCTGTGCTCGTCCACGCTATGGACGAAGTGAAAGAAGAGGTCGTTCTCGCTGGTCAGCTCAATCCTGCAGGGAGATCTGGTGGCCACTGTTTCTCGGTGTACGCTTCCCGTGGGAAGACAAACATGGAAAGGCGAGCACGTGCAACGAAACTGCAAGCACTGTATTCTAAACTCTGCACACTGCGGCTTCCAACACAAGCCGGCACCTACTCGACATAGCCACGATCTGAGTCAGCATAGGTCAGAATCAGACCTCACAGGCCTCCCTACAGCACATTTGCTAAGCTAAGACCTGCTTCCCGTCTCCTGCAGTGTTGGGGGCTGAGCTCCTCCCCAAGTGCCAGGATCTTGCATCGAATCGCCTGCAGGTTCAACGCAGAGGTTCAGTGCAACGTGCATGCGCCAAGTCTTCTGCGACCACCGCAACACGAACAGGCAAGCTACCATGAAGCACGCGATCGATCGTTACCTAGACTGGAATCACGATTCCTGCCGCATGCCTGACATGCTTTATGCAGGGCCCAATCCATCCTTAACATCTTGGTGAACACTCTGACTCTCAGTCTGGCAGGTCACGGGAACGGGGTCCCACACGCTACTCTCAGCATTGCCACATGTGCGCCCGACTCCGTGCGACTTGCATTCGGGTCCAGGGCAAGGTCACAGTTGCCGAAGATGCGTAGTTCATTCAAGAGGGGCTGCCGAAACTCCATGACTCTTGGAGACCCCCAAACACGATCCAGCTGCGCCCTCCCACCTCTAGCGTGCCCACTTCCTGGCGATCGCTCGGCATTCGTTCTCTAAGCGGCCTTGCTGCAACCTAACTTTAAGCCTTTGGGGTCCCATCGGTGCACTCACTTTCTTGACTTTTTAAGAAGCCCATTGCCATGTCATGCGCAGAGCTCGTAGGCTGGATACTCAAGCTGCCACCTGAGGTGCCCAAACAGTAAAGCTCAGAGGCTTAGCTATCGCGGCACGTGCTTCCTCAACAACGACTACAGGAACAGACGAGGTAATTGCGCGAAGCCCGGGCTGACGGAAACACAAGTTATGCCCAAGGTTGCGAAGAGGGTACCCGAACTTCACGCGAAACCCCGATGCTGAGATCGGCGTCCTGTGGACCTGACTCAGCGTCCTCCGAAACGAAGCTTGTTGGAAGTAAGCTTGCTTGAATCTGCATGTATGAGCATCCAATGGCATTTCAAATCACAATCATCTGTCACGAGCATTACCTGAGGATCGACTTTTTATACTTCCAGCTTGAGGACCTGGTGAGAGAGGACTGATCGTGTTAATTGCATGCCCGATGAGGCGGCGGAGTCAGACAAGATGGGGCCTCGCGATCAGAGAGAGGCCCTAGTATCGTGGTTGGAACTCACGGCCACTCGCCTAGCCTCTTCAAACTCGGGATCTCTTTTGAGGAGTGGTGGGTGATGAGGTATGGAGAGCGAAGCTACGCGTGGTGGTGCACGATTCATACCGGGTCTCCTGCACCCGCAGCTCGAAAGGCACTTCGCGATCGTAAACCACACGGTGTCCTTTCGGGAGTGGCTGGCTAGCAATCGCACTTCTGCCACTGGGGAGATGAAGTTCGTGGGCTCTGCAGGAGGGGTGCGCGAAGCTACTTTGAACTTTATTGACCAACGCGACAGGAAGCAGGAGCACGGAGGATTCTAAACCAAGCATCTGCAAAAAGAGAACAGACACTGCTCAAGAAGAATCAGCATCCTGCCCAGTGATTGCCAAAGCAACCTTCACATTCTGCCCAAATCCCTGCCACAACTCCGAAGCTCTGGGAGCCGAATTCAAGAATCAGAATCAAAACAGATACTTGTAACAAACCCTAAACCCTAAACCCTAAACCCCTAAACCCTAAACCCTAAACCCTAGGGTTTAAAGCTACAGTGAACGTCCTAAGGTCCACACCCAAAGAAGTCCTGGCCTTCGGAGAGGGACGGGTCCATCTCTTCGAGCGCGCTGAAGTCAAACGCGTCCAGCATGCCTTGGGGGCGGTGTCGCGCGCCTTCTCGCGGCAGAAGTTACGTGCTGGCTTAGGGTTTAGGGTTTAGGGTTTAGGTTCTACTTCCAATCCTGATCACAGCTCCTGTCCTGAATTTGGAATTGCGGTTCCGTGCCATTCTGGCCAATGGAGTCTGGAAAGAGCCACAACGTGGCACGTGCACGATGAAACGTAGCATCGACGAAGCCGTCATCGCCAGAGTTTAGTCGATCTGACTGAATCGGGAATCATAGCCTGCAACCTAGCGAAGCAAAACTGGGACCACATGCCCACCAGACCCACTCTTTCCGACGTGCTTGCTCAGCCCAGAGCTCACGTTGCTGTGAACCGACTTCTCCTGCTCAGGCTATCGACTCCAAGTCTCGAAGGATGGCGTAGGAAATGCATCGGATCTGTTGTGGGACACTTCTGAAAGCCCATTCTCCCTCATGCTGCTACGAGCAAAAGAGTGAAGTTCATAAGGATGAAACACTTCAATTCACAACACCCAACACCGGAAACCGGTACATGCAGCTTTCATCACGCGGCTCTCCATACGTGCTGAGATTATGCTTGATTCGCCTGCCTCGAAGTTGCCACTTGCACGCAACGAAGCCATGGCAAATCTCTATGCAAATCGTTCGGATTGAGTCCGTTCTCGTCACTCACTGTGCAGAACATGATGGGTCTAGCAACTTATGCCTGGTTTGGCCGAGCAGAAATCGAACGTCGTGCTGTTCATGCTCTTCCTTGTCAAGCCTTCGCCGAGAAACGCGTACTCATCTCGCATAAAAGAACTCGAACTCGCTAGCATGCTTCGTGGCTGCTGCTTCGCTGGCTATCATGAACCTGCATGGCCGGGGAACATTCAAAAGTCCACATCCAAACATGTACCACCAAGAACGTCCAGGCAGGGGAAGAAGACACTTCACGGTTAGGGTGACAGGTAACATAAAGGATTTTTTCTAGCACTGTCGGCCGGCAACCTCTGCAGAGGCACGGGACATGGCACAGAGTGTGCCTGAATGAGGCATTGGAGAGCCCGTTTTCGGCAGCTGCGGTACAAGCAGAGGGCAAAGACTTCGGTCACGCGGAACATATGTCCCCTCGCAGCACAGCTATCAAGCAGGGTGATCTCCTGCATCTGCCTCTCCAAATCTCCCTTGCCGTCGGGGGTGAGATGCTCTAAGCCCGACTGCCAAGATTTGCATTTTCGGACCTCAAAGCCCCAAACGTGGAGTTTGGCGCTTGACGTTCAGGGTTTGGCGCTCGGGGTTTGTGGAACTGCAGATGAGAGGGTACGAACTTCAGAAATGCAAACATGCGACTGGTCTTCAGCAGACTGTTAGATCTGATAAAGTATCTTAGCGGCTCCTTGGCGGCTGGGCTCAGTCTTGCTTGGTGAGAACGCCTTCCTATCTACCAAAAACAGACACCGCGGTGTCCAAAACTCAGCTCACCATCCTTGCTGGCCGCCCCATTGCTGAGGACCGCCCTTGCCGTAACAGCCACCACCGCATCCACCACCGAGGCCACCTCCCATGGGTGGACCTCCCATAGGGCCACCACCCAGACCGCCACCGCCCAGGCCGCCGCCACCCAGGCCACCGCCACCCAAACCGCCGCCTCCCAATCCACCTCCGCCGAGACCGCCGCCACCTAAGCCACCGCCACCCATGCCGCCTCCACCAAGGCCCCCGCCACCAAGGCCGCCACCACCTAGACCGGGACCGCCGCCCAGGCCGCCACAGCCACAACCACCGCAGCCAGGGCCTCCGCAGCCTCCGTACGAACCCCCGCCATTCCAAGCTCCTTTGCCTCCACAGCCGCAACCTCCGCAGCCGCAGCCACAGCCTCCACAACCTCCGCAGCCGCAGCCCCCGCAGCCACCTCCACAGCCACAGCCTCCGCAGCCTCCGCCGAAGGAATTGTTCATAGGGCCTCCTTTGCCTGCCAAGGGAAGGACCAAGGCACTTTAAACTCAAGACAAAACGGCCCTGGAAGTCTGACGTCTGATGGGTAATCGCTCGCTTTGCGGTTGGCGCGGTTAGGGTTTAGGATTTGAAGACGACTTTACGGGGCTTTTGGTTTGGGCGCCTGTGCCTTCAAGATCAGACATTGATTCTGTAGTCGAGCCCTCTGGCCCTCAGCTTGATTCAATCTGCTTTCCGGGCACTCATCTGTCTGCGAATCCAGAAATCACGCCCAAACCATCATTAAAAGCTAAACTCTTGTCACACCCGAGAGGACTGAAGTGACTGAAACGAAGCGCGACGGCAACGCCTGGAGGCAAGTTCAGAGGCAAGGGCGGTCGAGGCACCTCAGTGCGGTACTCCAGTTCCAAGTCCATGGCTTAGCCAGCGGAGGCTTGGAAGGCTATGGACTGAGGTTCGTCTATGGGCTTTCGGAACGGGCGGGCTCTGCAGATGCTATCAATTCAGAGATGCGCACTGTAAAACCAAAGAGCCGTTCACCCACAACCTAAAACCGTACCGGGAAGAGTAAGACTAATGACTAATCTCACCTCCAAGTCTGGTCGCATAGGCTTGAAGCACAAACCGTGAATGCCCCAAAGCCCGACTAAGCAAGCTGGAAAAGCTTAGAAGAAAATCCGGAAAGATTTGTCTCTGCGAGCTCCCTTTCGCAGCGCAAGGGCACCTTACTCTACGTTTCACTCACCATGCCACGATCTCAGAAACAACATTGTTGGAAGCGAGATTTGCCAGGCCGTTTGAGGCTGTTCCCGCACATCCAAGAAATCGAGGGCACTCCTGAATAAAGCAAATTCACCTTCCCCAACGAAAGCACGTCTCAGCAAGAATCCAGACTACGGCACTCCTTCGATACATTCCCAAACCTGCAACACCATCTACCTGCTGCGGAAGGGCATTGCCCGGCATCCCACCCATGCCGGGTGGTCGCGGCGGCATGCCAAGGCCACCTGGGTGTCTTGCTTTTTACATCCTAAAAAGGCTCCAAGGAGTGAGTGGAGGTACCTTTAAACTTAGGATCTAGGGTTGCATGGCACGCGTCGTTTGCTCAAAGCGGGAAGCTGCCCATTTCGTTGCATGACAGAAGGTTTCAGAAAGGTCTCGGAAGGGCTACATGCTTTCGTGCATATACATGAGCAGAACGCCAGCATGGCAACTTCTCATGTTTTTCATCAGACGAAACGGTCCATGCCCCTAAACACGTGAACACCCTTTGCTTAGCTTGGTTCAGGCGACACATTCCGTTCTGAATGCGCAAACCCAAAGGCGCAGTCCCCGACTCGAATTGTAGCTTTGAAGTCAGAGCCTAGAGACTGAATATACCTTGCAAAAGCAACTCCCCTCAACCTGAGTGATGTGTTCCGGTCAGAGGCCCAGATGGCCGACATTTGCAAGAAGCGATTTGACTACCGGGACCAGGAACCAGTATGCCATGGAGCCTTAAAGCCCTGACAACCTGAAACCCAATCCTCAACTCCATGAGTCGTCACCCATAAAGCCGACATCGGAAGCCCTGAATCCCACCCCAGCCGACTTTCCTCGAACTCAACCCTAGGCCCGCCCCATGCACTCTACCCCAGCATTTAGAAGTTAAGATGTTAAGTTTTTTTATGTTAGGGTATGTAAAGTTTCGGGTGCACCTTCCATGCCGCAGCCCATGGGTGGCGGGACCGCACCGAGCCCGCCCGGCCTGTGCAAAAGGGCACAGGCCACGACGGGCCTTGTAGGATCTCTGGATTTGAGAGAAGTCCGCTCTAGTGATCGGTGTATCAAGGTGTACGGATTGTAGTCCGGAGTGGGAGGCTTGAGGGGCTTCCAAGGTTCACAGAGTCGAAGGCCTGCGCGATGCAACCATGAGGGTTTCTGGCTTAGGCACTGACAGGCGTGCAAGCATTCTGTAGGATACAGAGCTCCGACAGTTGTCGGCCCAGGCCTGTACATCAAGAGAGTGGGGTTTTAGTCGTGTACGGCTGCTGGGAGGGCCGATGTTTCGGCCACCAGTGATGAACTTTCCTCTTGGCAGGACTTGGGCGATTCGCTCTCTCCGTTCGGTTTGCACACCATGACAGGACCAAAAGCATTATCTTGCTGTGTCGCTTTTTCCGGGTTCATGGGTCGCGGGATCTTCAGAAATGTAGCATTGTTGTGTTCACTTTCTTCATAAGGAACAGGTAGCAACGATCCGTGCGGGCTGACCTTGGCTGAAGGCTCGGAATCGACTAGCAATGTACACGTTCTATGCCAATTCTATAGTGGAGGCAATGAACTTATGTGCACGGCAAGCAGGATTCCCGGATTTAGCTGCATCGTTTCGATCACGACTTCGCATGTGATTTGAATGCTGAGTATACTCAGCCCATGTCACTTTTGCTGCAGCGGGGCTGCAGTCTAGATCCGAAGGTTATAAATTATAAATGACATGGGACAAAGACAAAGACTTCTCTGACGGCTATAACTAGACTATAACTTTATGGTTGAATGATTTGATGACAAGTTCATGTAGTGCGGTACATTCGGCATTTGTGCTTGCGATGGCAAGCACACTGAGACTGGTCGATGCTGTACCTAATGATGCTGGTGATGGTGATGATGACGGCGCATGCCTGTTGTCATGCATGACGACTGACACGGCTGCTGCTATGCATTTTTTTCCGAAAAGTCTGGGGCTAGCAATACTTGCATCTTCGGAGTGCCGCACGCAGACAACGGGCGGAAAGTCATATGCACGCGGAGGCTTGCAGAAACACATGCAGAGATTTGCGATTCATGTTTCGTCCTGTGCATCCTCGGTGATCGGATGCTCTGCTCCGGTAACGCCTGGGTTGTCCATTATGAGTCAATAATGTTCAATGATAACTAACAATTATGTGATGGCGCCGATGAGCTCTCCCGTACCCCAGACCGCGGAGTATCGTCGTGGTGGCTTGAAGCTTCCGCCAGCTTTTTCGAAATCCGACAGGGGGAAATGTACATCAAGCTTTCAACGGCTCCAAGCCTAAGACCGTTATATCAGGAGCACCGAACCCGCCGACGATGCCCGCTCGCCTCGGGCCATAGCCGCCCATAGGCCTGCACCGGGGCTTAGGATCGGATCTACATGGTCCGCTGCTTGGGCTTGTAGGTTGCAGGCGACTGGAGATGGCATGGGGCGTGAGACCTGGTGCCGTGTAGACGAGTGAACCCGAAGGTCCGCTGTTTGAAGAAGCAAACGGATGAGGCTGGAACGGCAGAGCAAATCGTTATTATGAAATGTCGAGGGCATCTGCTCACGAAGTGCAGGGTTACGCTATTCTACAACGAGAGCTATTGTCACACTCAATAAAGAAACAAAATCGAATCAATCGGCCAACCTACCAAATCTCTTCTGGGCTGAAGAGCTCTGCAGAAACAAACGCATGATTGAAGACAGCAAACCACAGACCCTGAACCCTAAGCGCAAGCACCACACCCGCAAGAAACATCCCGACCTCAATTCAATCCTGAACTTCCAGCCCGAGCAATAAACTCAGATTGCATGTGCAAATCCCTGAGAGCGAAATTCAATTCTAAGTTGGCTTGATGCCAAAGCCGGATGTGTCTATGGCCTCATTCCGCCCATTCCTCCGCAGCCGCCCTGGTCGGTGGCCGCAGGTTCGTTTTTTCGCTAGGCTTGCAGATTTGGGGTGCTGCCCACAAGGGCAGAGAGGCGCTGTTTCACTTACAGCCCAGACCAAGATCGACATGTTTGCTCAGAGCCTGAACTGCCCCTTGCCTGAACCAGGGCAGGACTGAATGGATGGATACGGCAATGTGGCTGGGTACGGTAGTTGGACTGCATCGTTCCTCTGTGTTGGCACTTTCCGCCCCATCGACCAGGCTGCCGAAGCCATGATGCTTGCTTCTTTCACATCTGGAGTACCCGGCAGAGGGGCAGCAGCAACAGCAGCAGTAGGAGAAGTGGCAATCCTTGGAAATAGAGCAGCAGCAACAACAACAACAACAACAACAACAACAGCAGCAGCACCAGCAAACATATCAACCGTGAGTCGCAGTGATTTGTTGATCGACTCTGGCCACTGTGGGCATCGTGGACACCATCATCCTCGATAGCTGCATCATCATCGCAGCGCCGCCACCACCTTGATCAAGACCCTCGTCATCACCCTCACCGCTGCTACAAGAAAGGGGGAACCAGAAACAGAGACAGAGAGAGAGAGAGAGAAAGCAATCACCATGAGCTCACAGGTGCCTTGCCCCAAGACTTCTCCATGATCTTGGCCTCGCTTCAGGATGGGTGCACTCTTTGGGGGGAGAAGGCGGGAGCTCCGAGGTAAGTTTCTCTGAACGCACACATCGTATGAAACGTGCCGGACCCGCAATTATCATACAGAACTTGAGAACAACTGTTGCGGACGGCAATTCTTCCTTGAGCTCCGAATTTCCCAAAACCGAAACCGCCTTGGACCCTGGAGAAGCCCACGCTGAAACCTCAATGGGGCCAGTCATTGAGATCCTGGATGCCCAACGCCAAAGCCAGACTGGCAGCTGCAAGAACACCAGAAGCATTGCTGGACGCCCCATGAAGCCCTACCTTAATCCAGAGGAACCTACTTTTTTGTAGGGTCCCTATATATTCCCTATTAGGGCTTATAACCAGAACCTACCAAAAAGTAGGTTTTGGTAGGTTAAGGTAGGCCACTGCCCTTCGCACTCTCTGGGCCAGCTGGCGTTGATCAAGTCCTCAGCCCGCTGGACTTGCTCCACCGAGCCGGGTCCAATGATGACCTCAGCAGGACCAAAAACCTGCAGACAGATGAAGCTAATTGGCCACCTTTATAGATCTGCCATCATCAATACATACTATACACCCTAACTCTTGAGCCTAATCCCGGAACCCTCATCGATCCGTATGTTGTCATGGCTTTCTCAAGCTTGTGAGAGGAAGCTTAGTGACGTAGTGACGTTTAGCGTGCTCCGCTATCAAAGCCGCTCAATGAACGGTGCATGCAAATCGAGTCATACGGTCTTAAAGAGATGCGGCCCTGTTGTTCTCTGCCGTGGGAAGCCTTGGATCTTGGATCCGTGACGTCGAGGCTTCATGAAGCCCAATGTGGTTCAACATGAAACCTCCTTCCAACTGATGGAGAAACTTGAGCAGAGGGTTGTTGCCAGATCTTTCGTAAAGTTGAACTTTTCCAAACAAAGGGAGGAGGATCCTGTGCAGCTTGGGCACCGTTGCCTGCTCACCTGGCGAGGTCTGATCCTGGCGGGCGCGCTGAGAAAAATCTGCGTGGTTTCTGCAAAAATGAGAGCTGGAAACCCCTGCACACATCAGCTCAACAGCGCCTCCGGTTCAGAATGACTTCCAATATCAGAGCTTGACCGAGCTCAAAAGAATTCTGTGATTAGGGCGGGGGGGGTAGGCTCGGCTCGGGATCTCGGCTGCAAACTGAAGTTGCGGTGCTTCTGGGTAAGCATGGAAGGCCCGCAACTTTGGACTGTCGGATTCTAGTTTGGGACAACAGCTACCAAGTTACTACAGTGTCATGTCTACGGTTGCTTGTATAAGCGAATATCCGTGGGGTCGTGAGACCAAGATAGTACTTGACGGTCGTTCCTTCCTCAAGAGCGAGCCGGCTCTTGGGAGGGGGACATGCCCAAGAGAGAACCCAAAGCAGCCCTTTGCGTCTATGCCTGCTTCTTCGACGAGTTGTAACGTGTGCTGGCCGGTCCCCAAGCAGACCCAGAAAGTCTCCCATCCATGAACTTTGCCGGATACAGGAGGCCTCAAGTACTTCACTGCAAGATCCTAGGTAAGAGCAACTCCGTGATGCGGCCCAAACCTGAAGAACCCACAAGGCCCGAGCGATCTGGATCTGGCATCCCGCTTCGGAGGTCATCCCCCTGCGAGAAACATTTCTCAACTCGCTGTCGTCCCTTTCGCCTGCCTATGCCTACCCATCCGTTAATCTCTCCGTTGCCTCGTTTCGGTGTATCTATCGGTCTCCATGCTTTCTGACAAACCGTCTACCCTCCTCCTTCTGCAAGAACGGACTAGTCGGTGCATCTTTCTCTTGTTTAGCATCTACAGTAGAAACTACATCTGGCTTGTTGGTAATCATTCTTCGAGGTTAACGGCATTATATCTGTACTGCCGCCATGAAGGCCCCCCACGCCATGCAGTCTTTGCAGTTCTTGTACATATTGCGGGAGGGAAACTGGCAGAACAAAGGAAGTGGCGAGGGAAGAGATCGATAATGGAGAGGCTGCAGAGTAGAAGAGCAGAAACTGTGTTATGATTCTACCGCTGTGGGTCTCTAGTCTTTTTGCAGAAAGCCGTACGCTGCCAAGCTGCCCCCTTATTGAGAGCCGTAAGATTGTCAACAACGCACATGAAGAGTTGGAAGAACAGAGCCCTACTTCGCCGCTCTGGGCTCACACTCATCTAACCGATTAAGAAACACAAACACACGGCCAAGCTCGAAAACTGACCAGTTTTGCTCCGGACTGTCCCTTCACTCCCGTAAATCCGGATCCAGAAGGCCAAGCCTGCTTCAAGAAACACCTCGATAATGATTGTGGTATATACTCGAGTGAAAGGTACAGGGACGACGCGGGGATTTCATTCCTAATCGACATGAGGTTTCAGCCCAGAACGTCGGGCCTGATAACCTCTCCACCCTTGCCAATGAGACCACCGACGTGGACCTGCCATCTCGCTTGCAGCTTTTTCAGCGCTTGCCGGAGAGCGGGGTGGGACCCTGGTCTGGGTGCAGAATGGGGTAACGCCATTTCAGAGTGCTCCAACTCTTAGTGGCTTTTTGGTCAGGGGCTCGGTTTTGTCTGCTGTACTCCGGAATTGGCTGGTTGAAGAACTAACCCACGAGTGGGAAACCGTCGCGAAAGATTCCGACAAGCTGCAATACGGAACACACGAGCCAACATCAGGAGAGCAGGTCTCCAACGAAGGTATCCGGGGCAGGCGGATTTTTGGGGTTACCAGTAGGGTTTCGTCTAGAAAGCAGAGGCCTCAATTACCGGAGCCAGCACACTCAAGACGGCTCGGGATCAACCGTCCACGGCTCAAGGGCAACAACATGTAACCTTCAGGCTTGGCCAAATCGGCGCCGAGATCACTGATGCTACAAGCCTGGAGCTGGATGAGGCAAGACATCGAAAGCTGAACTGCGCAAGCCCTAACCTTACACGAGAATCAACAGCGGGAAGTAATAGCAGGAAGCGAAAATACAATTCCGTCCAACTACGGACACGTTCGATGCGGAAGATCCTGTGGGGTTTGGAGACTCACAGCCCAAGCGCAGGCCTTGTCCACGCGGAGCTCCTTGCAACCAAACGAGAACAAGACGAGCTCGAACGGAAGGTCTGGGATCTAAGGCACCAGATCCTCCCTACAACCAGGACACTGCCGACACCAACGCGCATGAAATTTTCCCAAGAGCTGGTAGGCTTCGACAGCTGGATCTGCACTATGAGTGCCTCGGGGCGGATGCGAACCCAATTCCGTTAAGTTTCGCTTTACCTACTTCTTGAAGGCTTGCTCCCTTATATCTGAATCCGAAGAAAAGTAAGAGGTAGAGCTCTGAAGTCATGTCTGTCTTACTCATGCCCGATCTTCCCAACAATGTTCCGCTTACACGGTTGCAGGACCTCGCAACTTTGATGACCAGGCCTGCGGCTTCCAATCCACAAGCTGGACGGTCTTTTGTCTAGGGCTCCCATCGGTTTCGCACATAACGAAGAAAGGCTACTACTTCAACCCTAGAAGCGCAACGCTGTACCATTCATTGCTACACTACCTAGGAAAACACTGACGCACGCATTCAACATCCCCACACATCATCAAAGTCAACAAGTCTAGTGCAAGGCTCACTTAGGGCATACAGCATACACGTAAGTGTTCCCGTAGAGACCCTGCCTGATTAAAGTAGAGTACATCCCAAAACCTTAGTCTAACTTCCAAGGCCCCCATGTTTCACTGATTTCTTTCAGGCATGCGTATGAGTCCTTGGTCTCATTTCCAGCTGGTGTCGGGAGTGGCTGGTTCCCTTGCTGCATGCCTCGCACGGGGCTTCCGGCAGACCGAGTCCCAAAGTCTCCAGAGCTTATTGAGGTTTGCAGCGAGTTTTGGGTGTCCAGGGTTTGTTGGGGATTTTGCGGCCTTAAGGGTTCAATAATAGAATTGGTGCGGCGATTTAACAAGCAAGTCTCCAGTTGGAGACAT